TGCTGTCTGGGTATGTACTTTGCCAAATTGCTCCTGTGCCAATCTGTAATCTAGAGCAAAGCGGTTAAAAAAAATTATTTTATATACAAAAAATTACATGACAGCGATAATGGTGTTTTCTCTGAAAATGACAATCCTAATTCATTGTGAATCTAGCTTTTAAACCTGAATTATTAATATTTTTACCTAACTTTGGCAGAGAATAGGGGTCTATTCTGTAATAATTCCTTTATATTTAACTGCCTTTAAAAATATTGGCGACCTTTAAAAGTATATTTGTATTCGTTAATTTACTTCTGTCATTATTTAAACAGATTTCTTTAAGATAGTCCTCTAATGTATTTCAAAGATCCGTTTAAATAATGACAGAAGTAAAGAAGAAAATATTTTTAAAGGCCGTTAAATATAAAGGAATTGTTACAGAATAGGCCCCATAGGACTTTTACGATGGGGAGGAAATTTATAGTGCGCCGAAATACGCAGAATAAGAATGTTATTCGGTCATTTCATAAATAAGATTACGTTAGCATAGACGTAGGCATATACAGGGAATAAGGCTTAATTTATTTAACAGTGTAAAGGCATTTAGCACTAGCGTTGTTTATTTAAATAATAATGTTCTATATTTTCTGATCAGGTTTCCTAGAGAAATTATTCAACGCAGAATTTGGCTGCAAAATCTACGCTTGGTGGAGAAAAACATTATGACAATGAAAGAAGCCTTAGTATAGTAACATTTTTGTATGGTAGATATTTATGAAAATTTAAGTGGTAGACGCACATCTTAAAACATAATGCTATACCTATCAAGTAAGTACAGTATTTATTATGGGTATTTTTATTATATGTAAGCTCTAAAATTATACAGTAATCATCACATTTTACAGAATTTTGGGAGAGGTAGTTGAAGAGGCGAAAAATGAAGAAGAAAAAAATACTTTTTTTTAGTAGACAGTAACAGATGGAGATTGTTTCAAAATTGTTATAAAAAATTATTAATTCATAATGAAGTAAAGTTAAATAAAACTGCCAATGCAATTGCTTTAGATGGCACCAGCATCTTGGATTGTAGCAGTACTAGTAGCCAAATTGCGTTAAATTTAAAATGTTACGAATCAGACACTAAAGAAAATTTGGAATTTACAAATGAGCGTCGTGACCATGATTACCTATCTATATATTTTCTGAGCGAATACATTCTCGATGTAGTTCCTTATATTTCTGGTTTTATAGTAAAATCCTTAAAGAAAAAGATTCACTGCAAACAGTGTTCTGCAATTGAACCAGTGAGATCGAAAACCGTACAAGTCTCAAATTTGACATTTAAAAATAAGCCATTTCGTTTAAAATTTGTCTCTTCATCGATTGAGCTTAAAAACCGTACTAGATACCTAGCTGTTATTGTAGTACAGCTGATTATACCCGTGAAATTAGGTGAAAAACCGTACATATCTGCGACTCGTACGGTTTTTCATCTCAATAACAAAATAATGGTCAGTTGGAAAAACACAAATACTGAAAATGATGATTACATAACTGAGATAACAGTTTTGATATTGTATTTTTCCTCCTTTTTGAATAAATATAAAATAAATATTTTCTCTTCGACAGACTTTCTGTCTCAACTGTCAAAGGTGCTACTTTCTGTTCTTAATACACAAATTGCTATTTTGTCTTTTATTCCAAAATATGCTTTACAAAATATCAGTTATCTTATAACACTAAATAAATCTATTGAGCAGATTCTTCACCAAGAGTGTTTGTAGGACTAACCATTGATAGTAAAATGACATTCGAAATGTCACAAAAGAAGCTTCCTTTAGTGTTTTTTCTATTCGGACAAATTAGAAATAAAGTATCTCTTGATAATCTTAAGCTAATGTGTTTTAGCCTTGTCCAGATATTATAAAATCATTACTGTCCTAAATGAGTTATTATATCATTACACAAATAATTCTAAAAATAGGTGTCGTGACATGCAACCCATATGGTATGTAATAGAAAGATCATATTTGTATATTTATGTATCTAAAATAAAATTGTTCTGTTTTTAATAGCTTTTTATTTCATAAAAAAAGGTAGTCCGGCAATATAATTATTCTTTTTTCGACCTGTAGAAAAGGTTTTCAAACAGTACCCATGTAAATATAATATAATAAATGGCTTTATATTTTTACTTGTTCTTTGCTCTTCATGTATTTAAAAAAATATATATAATAAAATACTAACAAAAATGTTCTTCCACTTTGAGCTACCTACTATTTTAATCTATAAAAAAATATATAAAATTACTTTTTGAATGCCCTGTATAAATTGAATGTTTTCTTTAAATTTGCCTTTGATTCCGAAGACCCATAAGTTATTGATTTGGTCATTAAATAATTTTTACTAAAAATATATGTAAACCCTCCCGAAACACCACGTCAATGTGCGACGTACGATTCCCCTTTCTCCGTCTGGTAAAACATGCGGACAGAAGGTGTATTGGGTATACAGTGTGTAGCACAATGTGTGTAGGGCGAGTCTATCTTAGAATTCTTAGATAATATGATGTCTATGGGTAGAATCCTATACGAGGCAAGAGCAATGAACTGGAGTGGGGTAGAATGCTTATCAATAGACTTGAGATGCGACTCTATGGGCAAAGACAGGTTATTTTTCATCTCACTCGGAAGTATTTATAACAACCATTTTCTATTTCACTTTGTTATTGTCTGATCCACCAGCTTGTGGATTGAACAATAACAATGTGAAACAGAAAATGGTTATTATAAATACTCCCGAGTGAGATGAGAAATAAAAATGGCTGCGCCCATAGAGTCGCATCTTGCTTTATGATACAATATGCACATTGGCTTTCTACCCCACTCCAGTTCATTGGGCAAGAGAGAGGTCCGACACTCCCAACATAGGGCGCGGCCATTTTGAACCCTGTGACACAGTTTACAGCTAAAGAATCAGATCGCTCACTCTGCGTCGGCACTTTGGATCTCAATGTTTCAGTTTATACACTGTGCAACTCGGATAATACAATATATGACACCGCCTATAATAAAACAGCAGTCTTCTGCGTATCCTGAATTTGTATCCCTGGAGTGGATGTTATTTTGGAACTTTCAAATGGTCCGAGTGAGCTAACCGATTATTTAGCAATAAACTGTGACTTCAAAAATGATATTCACTGACACTGACAGCAGCAAGCAAAATATCAGGTGCGTTTTAATCATCCGCTTCTGCTTCCGGAATTGTCGGTTTAGTCGTTTTAACCTGTCAGATTAAAACAAGAAAACCGACAATTCCGAAGCAGAAGCGGATGATTAAAACACACCTATTAAAAATATTGCGCCAAGATGTAGGCAACACGTAATAAGGGTTCAAAATGGCGGAGTTTTCTATCTCCTTTTAAAAGGCACTCAGAAAGCTGCGCAGTGCGACCATTCTCCGTATAGTAAAAGAAAATCAAAGTATGTGGTGGAATCACTATGGGTAGAATGCTTGTCAATTAGGCATTCCAACGACCTGTCCAATTGGCTACCAGTGGGTAATGACAGTTTAGATATGGCAACCCTGTTGTCAAGTTGTTATTAACAGGGTCAATGATACATATATATTTATATAGATTGCTCAAAGCTGGTCGTTTACGAGCGACCATATTGCCTGGCAAATATTTATTAATTTGAATCGGTTTAGCAAAAATGTGTTTTAAAACCAATTTTTAGCCTTTAGATATTTAAAAAAAATAGTTGCTTACATTTTTACTTCAAGGCATAAGCTTATGTTTATTTTGAAAAATATGAATGATCAATCTATGTAACTATCTACTTCATTGACCTTGTCAAATCACCAGGCCTACAGGGTTGCCATAATTTTGCCATATCATAACCCGTCAAAACCCGTAGCCATTCAGTTTGAAATGCATAATGGGCGAAGATAGGTTATTTTTTATCTCACTCGGGAGTATTTAAAATAGCCAGTTTCTATTTCACATTGTTATTGTCTGATCCACCAGCTTGTGGATTGAACAATAACAATGTGAAACAGAAAATGGTTATTATAAATAGTCCCGAGTGAGATGAACAATAAAAATGGCTGCGCCCATCGAGTCGCACCTTGTTCTAATAGTACAACATGTACATTGGCATTCTACCCCCCCCTCCAGTTCATTGATACGAACATGTTTTTAAAGGCCGCCAATATTTTAACGGTCGTTAAAATATAAAGGAATTGTTACAGAAAAGCGCATAGGAGTTTCCCCCTCTTATCCCAGTATGTACTTTTATTTTTCTATTGCTGGCAACGCTGCTTTTCATGTAGATATGACATTGTCAAATGTCATAATGTCAGGATTTAAAAAATGTGTGTGATATGCTGCGTTTGAGAATCCACATCGGATGCATCTGAGATGTAAAAAATCTTTGATCACGTGATGCAGTATACGTAAATGTAATGGGACAGATGTGTCCGATGCAATGAACTGGAGTGGGGTAGAAAGCTAATGTGCATATTTTATCAATTGAACAAGATGCGACTCTATGGGCGCAGCCATTTTTATTTCTCATCTCACTCGGGAGTATTTATAATAACCATTTTCTGTTTCACATTGTTATTGTTCAATCCACAGGCTGGTGGATCAGACAATAACAAAGTGAAATAGAAAATGGTCGTTATAAATACTCCCGAGTGAGATGAAAAATAACCTGTCTTCGCCCATAGAGTCGCATCTCAAGCCTATTGACAAGCATTCTACCCCACTCCAGTTCATTGGTCCGATGTGGATAAAAAAACGCTCGAGATGTAAAAAATGCATCCGATGTGGATTCTCAAACGCAGCATTTGTATTTCTGTTTGGAAGATTTAAAAAAGAAAGATGATAAACAATCATAATCAAAAGTAGTGTGTTGTATATATGTGAACACAATTTCAGTTATTAATTTTAAACTGTTTTTGAAACTTGAATAATTCAGCAAATATTAAAATTTTTCTTTAATATTGTAAGTACTATGACTAAAAAACGGAGGCTCTCGGGATCTTCTCCAATTAAGGTAGAGGTGAAAGAAGAGAACACTGGAGGAAATGATTATCTTATGGCAAAAGGTCGCCTTAAAGGTGTTCTAAAGCAACTTACAGAACAATCTTCAGATGATGAGAGTGATTCATCAGATGACAACAAAAGATACCACAGGTTAAAAAAATATCCATTTACAATTCTCTAAATATATTTTTTATAAATCTAACTTTTAGGGAATCTAGCAGAAAACGCAAAGTAGAAAATATGCCTACACCATACCACCATACTTATGTTATGAAATTATTTGATAGAAGTGTTGATTTAGCCAGGTTTGAAGAAGATACTCCACTATACCCAATATGCAGAGCTTGGATGCAAAATCAACCAAGAAATCCACAACCAATTATAAAGTAAAAAAAAAATAAAATAAAAAAAATATAGATTATTTATTACTCATTTGCTTTTTGAACTTCAGGCGTAGATTGTCTTCACCTGAACCTGTTAACAATTCATGGACTGAAAATTCTCTATCAGAAATTAGTAGGCTTCCTTCTCCCAGCCGACCTCATATAACACGAATCCCATCACCATTACCAGAACATAAACAAAATAAGGACAGCATCAATTTAAATTATGTGAGTCATTTGGATGTTTTTAAGAATAATTTAAAAGGATAATTATTGATTATATCATACCTAAACTATTTGTGATTGTGGCTTTGTTCTGATACCAATTATAAACAACTTATTTATACTTAGGGAATTTGATATATTACTGATATGATACTAGTATCGATGCTTTTCTTTCGATACTAGGTAATTTAGTAACTGATTATATAATAAAAAAGTGTATTGTATGATCACTTTATGGTATTTTGTTATGTTTTAACAACTTTTTGTAGTTCCCAATATCAGTATTGATACTTTGGTTATGATACTCTTAGATAATGGTATTGATACTTTTGAGGTATCGCAATATCTCCGAATATCTCTAAGTACTTATACTACTTTGATAATTTCATAAAGGAATTGGGGTTTATATTTTCAAAGATTGCATACTTGGGAAATGTTTGATTCTAGTCTTTGATTGTATTCATGAGAATTGAAATTCAGGTTGTCGATTATTGATGAACTTGGCGATTTGATGTACAATTTTAATGTGATTTGGTTTTATTCAAGTACACAGTAATGTAATATTTCAGGAACCGTTAAGTTACAGTTTTGAGGACTAAGTGAATAATAATTTTATTTCTAGATATTTATGGGAAGATATATCTTTAAAAAATGTAACTTACCTGTACACAATATATTGTTACCCATCACCCTACAGTGTGCTGCGGTCGTCATAAATAAAGGTGTGAGTAAAAGAAGAAGGGAGAATATTTGCGAAATGTCATTCCATGTCAAGAAATATCTGGACCTTTCGGGAAGGTTCTAGAACAATCATACTCAACCTTTTTTCCTTCAGGCCACATACGTATGTCGCAATATTTTTGAATGATTACACTTTATTTAGGCCAGCCATTTCAAATTAGTTAGTGGGAACCTCTAATAAATATACACAAACCAAAAATATATCCCATCAGGTTACTGCAAAAACAAGATAACTCACATTTTTAGAGTTTTCGAGAAAATGCTGTTCAAAGGTTTAAAATTAAATAAAAAATCAGCAAAAGCTTCAAAATGTTGAATAAACAATAACTCCAATGAAAAAAAGGTATTCAAAACTAATTAGTTTTCACAACGTATAAACTATGAATCTATCAATTGGTAACAAAAAAGAAAAAAACGTCACTTAGCTTATTTTAGCTGTCTACATACATTCAACGTCTGAGTCACTATTTTCAATGAAAGGTTCTGGTACCGTGTCTTTAACATTATTGGATACAGGTAGATTGTGATAATAATGGTGAAATTCATCAGGTGTAGTACCTGGTTTGCAAATTTTTAATAAATCTTTCTTCTTGGCATTACTAACGAATTGCCATTTTTTGTATTTTCAGAGCTGTTTACAGTGTTCTCTCTTTCAGGAATCCCTCTGCCGGTGTAGCTTCGGTTTTTTAAGCAATGCAAAAAGCTGGTGTTTTGATGATTTAAGAAGTACTTTTGGTCGTTTTAAGGCAGTTCTAGGCAAAATAAAACAAATGGCTTGTGAAAAATGTTGAAGTATTTCAACAAATAAATTCAACAAAAATAAGTGTTCTGGCCTTTATCTTGTTTTGGCAGAAACACTTTTAGGAATAGGATGTAATACATTTAGCAAAAATAAGTTATATGTCTCTAATATGGTTTTAGTAGACACACTATTAGCAACTGAACACAATGTTATGATTATTTTTCGGTATAAATGCCACTCATCTTGTGTGTGCATATTGTGAATGCATTAATATGGAGTTAGTTTTTATTGACCATCCGTTTATCATTAATATAGACTTCGTTTATACTTGTCTTGTTTATGCCGTATATTGTTTGAGCTATTTTGGAGACGAAAGTGTACTTAACTCGAAAATGCCGAAAGTGGAGCTATCTCTTTTTGCAGTAACCTGATGATCCAAACGTTTATTTAAAAATTAGCGTTATATTTAGCGCAGCGACCGATGAAAGTTTTCGCGTATTTCGCTTAAGATTTTTAAAAACTGAAACCTGTTTTAAAAAACACTTTATTACTAATAGTTTTTCTGGCCGCAAAAAAAGCTTGGAGGGCCACATGCGGACGCAGGTTGAGTATGGTTGTTCTAGAAAGTTAAAGCGAGCTATAAAGTCGGTGATCCTGACGTCAGAGATCAGTTTTATGAGAGATGATGTTATTCAGTTATATAGTTGCTTTGTATAGTTGAAATAAATTGAGTTACCAAAAAACTGAGTAACAATATGTTTAGGTGCAAAGCCATTAACCTTTAAATGCATGATTTTTTATTTTTGTCAGAAAAAAATACCTTCAAGTATATTATTGATATCAAAGGAAAAATAATAACAAAATTATTTCAGCTTTTTTATTTAAAAAAAATTGAACAAAAAGACGTGTTTCACAAATAATACATTGCGCAACAAAATGTAATATAATCAAGTGTTAATTCTCATGGAAAGTGTGAAAACAATTAGACTTTTGGTTAAAACACAGGCTTAATTTGCCTTAGAACATGCTACAAAAGTTAGGTTTTTCCACGTTGGATTTTTGCACTTTCCTCTATTTTCTCTCCACTCGGGCCAATGATCGATCGAATCTTTTCTGGTGGTACTACAGTAGCTGGATTTCTCTTCTTTTTTTTTTTAATTCTGGTGCATCTTGTATTCCACTACTTGATGGTCTGCCTCGTTTTGTTGTACACAATTGTAGAGTAGAACAAATTTAAGTTTGGTACAGCAAATGTTGGTTGCATACTAATCTGCGCATATAGGCGGGCTTTGTCAGTGGCGGGGACAAAAATAAATGGAAAAATAGAAATACTTTTTTATGCATGTAATTATCAAAATTCGAAAGGTAATTAATTTGCTTTGTACAATAGGTACGTAAGTTGTTATGCTTTTTTAATTTAGAATACACATGCAGGTTACTAAATGTACTCAATTGGATCCACTAAACAACCTAACTTACGCAGCGTATATTTTAAATTATTGTGAGTTTGTCATAAAATGTAGTTTCGGAAAACTTGTTAACTACAATAAAGTACATGTATATACCTACGTAGCAATAGGTACTTTATAAAAAATTAGCATAAGCAAGTTTAAAAAAAAAGGATAATTTTTAAAAATTGTTGGTTTATTACTTTTACTAGATACTTAAATTAACGTTATAGACATTTAATACATAAGAGGAGAAAGGTACAAATTAGAAATAACAATAAAAATGTACACTATGATGCCTCATCGGACGATTCTGAATCTAAGAATTCTATTCCTAAACTATCAGAACTTTCATCATCTTCAGTAAAGCTTTCCTCTGATGAACCAGTGTTGACAGTAAATTTCAAGGTATCCATGGCTGCGTCCAATAAATGCTCCTTTTCGATTTGAGCATCTTCATACTTCTTGACATGGCTACATATGTTAGCCCACTCCTTTATGGATACATCAGCAAATTTCGTTCGTGCTAAACTTACTACATCGTGTAACACGAAAGTTGTATTGTGAGATGCCACCCAATTTTTAACCAAGGCCCATATTTTTTCAATAGGGTTAAGTTCTGGATGATATGGTGGCAAGCGAAGAACTTTATGTCCGTGTTCTTCTAACAGCGTATCCAATACGTATACTGGTGGAAACCGTGGTTTATGTTCTTGAATAATTTTGTATAATTCTGGTTTTGTCAATTTGTCGTTAAACGGGATGCTATTCTCCTGTAGCCACTTAATCATAACCGCTTTACGACTACCAGACGTTACATTTTTTTCAACTGTCACATTGTGATAGGATGCGTTATCTAGTACCAGGACCGACTTTTCTGGTAAGTTGGGCAAGATCTGGGTATGTATCCACTTCATGAAGTTGCCATGGTTCATATCATCGTGATAATCGCCGCTCTTACATCCTGAAAATAAAAGTTTTCTGAAATTGTTCTCGATAGAAGCATGCATTTATTTTATTTAGATTTAGAAGTATTTTAGGTTACTGGTTTTGTAATAAAATTGTTTTATTGTTATAAAGGTGTCGTCTCACTTCGTACTGTCTCAGTTTGTACGATTATACCTGTTTTAGTTTCAGTTTGTACGGACTCTCCCAAACCAATTATTGATAGTCTCATTTCGTACTATCATCTCGAAATTACCTAGTTTAAATTATAAAGTACTTTATTAAATATGTATTATTTCTATTAGATATTCAATAAGTACACAAAGCAGCATATTTGGGTTAACCCTTTCTTAATTAGGTACCTGTTAACTACAGATCATCTTAATTCGTATAAGTACACCAATCAAAATAGGTAAATAGATTTATGTGAATACTTAACGGATTACGATACTGTACCTGAGTATTTTTGGGTTTTTCGCAAAATATTTATTTTATGTTCGGCGAAAAATGTTTGATATTTAATGATGTACAGGAATCTTGATTGTGCAATACAGGAAACAGTCAGTGATTTTGTAGAAGGAAGAAAATCTGTTGGATCATGTTTAGAAAAATTACAGTACGTTCTAAAATTTGAATAGTATTTTTCAGTATTTCTGTATATATATATATATATATATATATATATATATATATATATATATATATATATATATATATATATATATATATATATATATATATATATATATATATATATATATATATATATATATATATATATATATATATATAAATAAAATTATTCATTACATTTATTTTATTGTAATAAACATATTTTTCACAAATTAATGTATGCTTTATTATATCACCACATCAATTTCGACAAAAATTTGTAAGTGTGAAATTAACATTCGTGACTGGTTCAGTATAATACGTCGTACGAAATGAGACTAGTCAGAGGTAAATTAAAGATATTTGTAGAGTATGCGTGAATTAATTACCTGATTTAAAAATTAAAAGTCCATTAGGTATAAACCCAGTCTCTCCTCCAGCATGAACGATAATTAATCGTTTCCCCTTAGAAATCGGCTTTTTAAAAATTCTTGGGCTTTGGTCTGACCAGCGGTTTGGTTGAGTGTGGCTGCTATGTATATAGGTTTCGTCGGTATACACTATTGGTCTGCCCTCAGATCTATATTGTAGTAGCTTCTTCAAATATTCAATTCTTTTTATTCGAATATCATGGTTTTCTATCAGGACACTCCGATTATCTTCTGTTTTTCGCCATCTGTAATTTGTTATAAAATATTTGAAGAATACGCAAAAAGGCTTTGTCCTAATTTAGTGTAAATTGTGATTATACAGGGTGTCTCGTAAATAAGTACCGTAAATTAGCGGAATGGTAGATCGTTAAAAGTATAAGCACCTGAATCCTAACTCGTTTATTGTTTTCCTTAATGTCTCAATTGACCCTGGAAATTCCATTTGTTTGTCCTTCATCTTTTGCATAATACCTTGAATAAATAGAAGTAGGTACTTAAAATGTTTGGGAACGAAAATGTATATACTTACCAGCAAGTGTAGGTGATCTTTTCTCGATGGTGTAGAAGTCATAGATTACATTTTTAAGTGTTTCTGTTTCTCCAGGGCTTAACTTAATTTTTTTGTCACGACGACGTTTTCGTTTCGGACTTAAAAAAGAAGAACATGCTATATTTCTATTTAATTCTCGCCCTTCTTTCCTTATTTTCTGAAGGGTGTTTTTACTTACACCTGTCGCTGCTAAAATCCGTTCTCTGAAAATATATTGAAAATCTTATTTTATTTTTACTATTTTAATATTTGTTTAATTGTCCAACAAGTAAATAGCACAACCAAACACGAAATGTTACAATATAAAATACAATATACCACTGCCTGCAGGTATAAAGTATTTTAAAGAAACTCATTTTAAATGAATGATTATTGATTCAGCCTATAGGTACTCTGTGAAATTATGCCAATACAGCAGGAGCATAAACATTTTTTTAATTTCACAATGGTATCGTATCTGAATAGTTCCACATAATTAAAATATTATTATGTAATTAAAAATACTCACCTAAAATTCTTTAAAGGTATCAATACGTCCTTGGTAGCATTGAAGTGGGCCGCTTCTTCTTCCATAAATTTCGAAATATTATTAACGATTTCTTTTGTTTGACTGCGTAATCCCTGTCCCATTCTGCCAATTTTTTTCGGAGCCATATCGTCCAAATCACTTTTATTTCTAAATTAACTATGTAGATACTATAACTAAACTTATACACTAACTATTATTGCTACTCTACTATAACTACTACGGCACTAAATTAAACAAATAAGAATAAGGAAATACACCACTTGAATAAAAAAGAGCCCTAGATATACCACATAGCGCTGTTAGATGCAAATTGTTTCACCTATTCGCCTCTTTACGCTACGGTACTGACCATCGCTGTGTTAGGGGTTGGCATGGTAACGATAGTCAACAAATCTACGGCGCAACCATCGGATCGACACGTGGGTGTACCAAACTTAAGTTTGTTTTACTCTACACCAGGTTTGGGAAACTTCAATCCTGAAACTTTTTTGGGTTATAGGCTTTATGTTTTTAATTTCACATACCCTTTTGTATAGTAGCTACGCATTTACTAAACCTACAACAATTAGGTGATAAAACAATCTAAAATACCATTTTGTTGATTTTAGCCTGATTTTGTGGCATCCGATATGGCTCTCAATCAGATCCACTCCTTATAAATTGTAATAATTTCTGGGCAGCTAACTTCTTTATATTGTTTATTGTTACGGTCAAATCTTCTAGCAGTCGTTTCTGGTTTCTGTCCAGAAAAGGTAGACAATAAATTAACAATTTTGTTGTCTTTCCAGGATATGCAAGCGATATCAACATTTCCAACAAATTCAACAGATTTTCCTCTCATTTCTTTTTTGAACTCTTGTTCAGTTGGAAGTTTGGAATCCTGTTTCTTCTCACTGTTCCAAGCGGCAAAATACCTTGTTTATGCAAGTGCGCCATGAGGGACAGAAAGGTAAAAAAGTTGTCAAAATAGATTTTATGACGCTTGAATTTAGCAAGAACTCATGCTAGGCGAACCAGTACATTTGATCTTGCCCCCAGGTCTGGTTCATCTACAGGTCTTTCATTTAAATTTTCTTGTCCCGTATATAGACTGACAAACTTTCTTCAACAGGAACAGATATAAATTTTTCTTGTAAGCTGGTAACTATAGGACGGATCTTATGAAGCTTGTCAAATCCTTGCTGCCCAGCAGGAATTTGGGTTTCATTGTTATTAAAATGTAAGTTAAAACGCAATTTTTCAAAATTATTTAGGGACATTACTTCTTTTATGAAATCACTTCCAGTTACATCAGCCCAGTCGTCTCTTATGTTTGTGCAATAAGAAACCGAAGTAAAGATGCAAATACCTATATATTTTCGAATATCTTCTTTTTTTATATGCTCCGGTTTATTGGAATTGCGGTGAGCAGTGTATAAAGTTGATTCTTCTGCAATTTTTTGCAACAAAGTATCATCAAAAAAATAATTGAAGAACCTATAAGGAGAATCTAGCTCTAATATTTCTGGTTTGAGATTTGTGTCGCCAAGAAACTCTTTTTCTGGTTCAGGGAATTCTGTGTTACCTTTCTTCCAAATAACTTTTTTACTAATTTCAACAACTTTTTCTTTTGATGAGGTAGCGCTGCTAGATGGAACCGCTTTGTTAGTACCAATTTTCTGTAGTTTTTCGATTTCAGAATCTTCTGAGTTTGAGTGTTCATCATGCAGGCTTTCACCAATGACATTTTCGGACACAGTTGGGTCTAATAAACCGCCTTCACCTCCGGAATCTTCAAATTCTACCTCAACTTTACTTTCTATATGAGCTAAATCTAAATCTCATCAGTAAGATGCTTTTTCTTTTCAAATTCCTTCCACCAGCGACTCATTTTCTATAAGAAAAATATATTGCCTAAGTGCATGTTGTATCACATATGATACACATAAAATAATGCAAATTATTTATTCCATACCTAGTAAAATTCAATAAAAATATATAAAAAATGATCTACTTACATGCTTGGATGCTACTAAATATTTAGTTCACCAGTAAATAAGAAATACACGTAATCCGCAGTAAAATAAAATTGTTGTTTACAATAGTGGGCACTAACACCTGTTCATTTCCAGAATGCGAACAATACTAAAGCAAAATATTAAAAAAACTTTGACTACTTTGTTTTTAGCTTGAACGTATATTGTTACACATATGATACGTTTTCTAGTTCTAGAGACTGCTAATAGATTGCGGTAGTACGAATTAATAAGTGGTGTTTCAAATATGCATTCAAGGGTTAACTTAGATTATATTGGTAAAGAAAAATCTTGTTTTAAATTGAAAATATCCAAGTTTTTAGCAAATAATTTTACTCTAAACTTTGACCACATATACAAACAAATCCATTTATTGAAAAAAAAAAAACGTTTTGTGAATAACACTATACCACAAGTTAACTTGGGAAGCTCATATTAAAGTTTTGTCAAAATTGAGTACATATTATATTATCAGAAATTTGTTTTTCATGATCGAAACCTCCGCGACGTCACAACTTACACAATACCCCGTCATCGAACAGCCTTATTTAAAAGAAGTTTTGTATATAATTCTATTAAATTGTACAACTCTCTTCCTTTAGAATTAAAAAAATTAAACATAAATTTATTCAAAAAATACTTTAAAAAATATTACGTTCAAAATTTTGTTTGAGCTTAGATTTAATTGACCTTTTTAGTTTTTTACTTTTGATTATATTTTTGAATACTATTTTTTAGCTTAATATAGAAAAAATAAATAAAAAAAAAAACAAAAATTAATTATTGGAATTTTTGCTCCATTGCAAATATATTTTTTTTGTTTGTTTTTATTTGTTTTTGTTTTTATACATTGGTGTTTTAGTGGTTAAGTAGGAGTAGCTATTACAGCTAGACTTCGCCACTATTGCATCACTATTCTTTTTTTTTATATTCCCTTGTAAAAAAAAACTTTGTAATCATATATACATTATTTTCCCTTAATAAAGACGATTTATTATTATTATTTTAAATGCTTAGACTATAGTACAACAAACAATTTTTATTACATTGTTGTTGGCCGACAATAACATGTGTCTAGCACATGAGTCGCCCTCAAATAAAAATTGTTATAGTATACTACATTTTAGTTCAGTCAGAGCTCTATTGGTTAATATTTTGAGTTCCTCCACCATAAGTTAGGACAATGGTTGCTTAAAAACAGTTTCATACTGTTTCTTAATTATTCTGCAAACCTGTGTTCCAATCAGGGATCAAACATTTAAAAAATATATTATTATTGATAGAATATCAATGAGTTTTTCTTCACTTGACTGCAGATATCCTTCAGTCTCTCTCAACTAGTCCAAATATTAAAAAAAACCTCTATTCTCAAAATAATAACTTCTTTTTCTATAATCTTTGTTTACTTTTAGGAAGAGTGTCCTCCAATTTTGAAAAGCAGCTTATTACAAATGCATATGCAAAGGTGGACCAAAGTGAAAAAAAAGTGGGTCAACACTGCTTTTCAAAATGAACTAAGGTACTCTAGAAGTACACAGATTCTCGATACTATCTATAATAAGTAAGATTTGAAAACATTTTAATAGTATTCAATTTGGTTTTATAATAAATTATTTTTCAGAGCTCAAGAAGATGCTTCTCAGTAAGATTACTAATTTTATTTTAATTGGATGTATATTATTTTAAAGTTGATTGTAAAAAAAACAGTTAAAAGTAAATAATACTAAGTGTGCATTATTTTCGTTTTTTGTTTTAGGAATAATTGAGATATTTGATACTTAATTGGAGTAAAACTAAAACTAACTTCATAAATATATTTCAAAAGATATTTAAAAAAATAATATTTAGAACCAGATCAAAATAACACTGGTACGTTTATCAAATACGAGCTAAATTCTAATAGTGATTTGAGCTGCGCTGACCAAATCAAATTTTTGACAAAATGCTGTGTAAAAAATGTTTAATGATGATTTTGTACTTACAGCCTAACTCCCTGATTTGCTGTAGAAGTATGCACAATTATTTTTGAGTGTTAAAATACTGGTAAAAAAAACAAAAATATTTTGTGAGTTCTATATAATAAAATGCAGATTGTATGGTCTACATAACATAAATATTATATACAAATTTATTGGTCACTTATACATGACTAAAATATAACAAAATAATAAAATATTAAGTAGGTATTCACTAAAGAATCTTTTTTTTTAAATTCGTAGAAAATGTGCGAATTTTATCATAGACTAGCTATATATTTTTTAAATATTTATAAATTTTAACTTTAATGTGATTTAATTTAAAAATTAGATGATATATATTATTAGATTGCCAATTTATAAAAGATTTCTTATTTTATAAAGAATTTTTTTAATACAATTATTATTACAAGCAATAAATAGTATTTACAAATTAGTACAAGTTAAAGTTTTTGATAGAAATGTTGAAAAACCATAATACATTAACAATAATTAATATTAAAAGCATTAATAGCTATTTGTTATTAAGAGCGAAAAGTTATACTTTGCCGTTTGAGACAGAAAGCGGTAACGAACTTTTCGCTCAAAATGCACACAATATTTTTTCTACGATCACTTTATTTTAAGAAATACATAAAAAAAACTGAAAATTTGTCGTAAGTAGTGTATAATGTGTTGCCTATATCTACGTCAATCATGAAAAATGGAATTGATATTCAAAGTCAATGTTAACTTGAATAATAAAACAAAAAAAACTACGTACAAATAACTTGAGAATCAATTATTAAAAATAAATATATATAATTTAAATTAGGTAAGCAAGCTGTTAAGTTTTCCGCTCGGCGAGCGACAAACCTGTCACTTAATGTCAGTTCGCGGAAAACGTCAACTTTGCTGTTGTTTTTCGAAGCGCAAAAGCCTACTTTGGATAGTGATCATAGAAAAATATTTTTGCCAATAACTCAAATGACAGAAATGCATTTAAAAAAGTATAATACTCCAAAAAATTATAAACAGCGATAACAGCTTTAGAAAGTCTTTAAAGAATTCGTTTGATTTAAATTTTTATAGAAACTCCAGAAATACCTCAATTTCTGCCGTATAAAGTGCAAAATATTTGTAATAATAAAATTCAAAAATAAATAACAAAACATTAAAGTTGACTTTAACTAAAACTAATCCTAATTATTTTCTTAAAATAAGTAAATAAAAAATAACATTAGCTATTCATTGCTTTGCAGATTTTCCGTTTTTTTTTGTAGTTGGATTAACTAAATTATTTTTCTTTGAGTGATAATTCCATTATTTCCGCTAATAATTTTTGTTCTTCCAATCTCTCATGTTCTTCCCTCTGTCTCTTTTTCTCCTCTTCTTGCTGGGAGAGGAGAAGAGCAAGATGTAGATCGGAATCTTGGTCTGAACTATCACTGTTGACAATAGGTTGATCTAAACCAGCTAATGGTTGTTCACTCTGGTGGCAAAGCTCTAAACTGGCCTGGATTGCTCTACAATGGTAAAAAAAATCTAGCATACTAGCCAAATGACGTAAAATATTACAAAGTGATATACAGAATCGGAAATATTTCAACAAGAGAATAAAAGATCCTAAAATAATATATCAAAATAGTGAGTGAAAAAAAGCGCTGATCGAAAGCCAAGAGAGGATCAAATATTTCCGAACCTGTACATAATTTGCTAAGTAAAAAATAGTTGAGAGTCATTAAGCATAAAAAAATTTAAATTCTCGAAATGAGTTCACAGTGAATAGACTTTCATGGAAAGACATTGCTATATACACCTTTATCTACGTTTTGTTGGATGCAACCAGTTCTACTTGGTTATTTCAAATTTGCACGAGACTATTTGGAATCCTCAACCTAACTAGACAAGGAAATACTTATAACTTTAAGTTGGAGTGGTTCTTTGGTGGCCAAAAGTAAAGCAGAAAACAACACTCAATACCCTCTCAGGAGTAGAGGCTGGCATGCATTTGTATTACAGGAGCACCAATAAGTACATTGACAGTCTCTATGAAAATCATTCTAAACCTTTCACTCCTTGACCTAGTCATAAAGGGGGATACCAGAATAAATACATACAGGCTGCACATCTCCAACAACTGGAACCTACTGGGACATATAAAACATATCAGAATAACACATGAGGTAAGTGATCCTATATTAAACATGAGATAAGCATTGGGATTCTCTTCTTTCAATAAGGCACGTGTTGAGACGCCTATCTTCGTTCCACAAAATGCGATTCCTATGTAATGTCTATTCGATTCGTTACGTTCGCACATAAGAATCCCTGTCCAGATCATATGACATCCCGCCTAACCTTCAACAGACTCTTCTAGGTCAACTGCAACTGGAACGAAGTAAATAAGAAGATAGAGAATTACTTGCTTAGCGCTCTCGTACGGTATACGGATGGATCTAAAACTAACAAGGGAACAGGCCCTGGAGTACATGGAGGTAAACCCAAATGTGACATCATCGTCTCAACTGGGAAAACATGCCACTATCTACCATGCACAGGACCCAAACCTGTATTTGGGATAAGCAAAACCTCTGCTCGACAGGCAGTGAACAGGTGGATAACCACAAAACACCAAATTCACTGGTAATAGATAAGAGGGCACATAATCAGTAAGCTCATGCTAAGGGAACCAAACCCACGCATGACTACTGAGGCACTACAACTCGCAAGGCCTCAGATATCCACCATTGTGGGATTACTAACGGGGCACTGCTTGCTGAAACACCTTCATGTAATGGGATTACACAATGATCCCACTACATGTAGACTTTGCATGGAAAAGGAAAAAACCTCATACCATGTGATCTTCGAATGCGAAGCTCTTACTAGGCGACGTTTCATCCTTTTCGGCCTAGAACCGGAAAGAACGCCCCAGGAACACTTGGTAGGGAACCTATTAAAACTAACCAAAGACACAGGACTATTCCAAAGATAGTACCTGAATACGGGGAAAGCAGGGGAATACAATAGACCCAAGAGGCCGCAGTGTTCTGGGCCAAACCTAACCCTACCTGCTTACAACCGATAAAGATAAAAAAACCTTATATTTCAATTTTATTGAATTTTTAAGAAAAGCCGTGTTTTACGAGTGAACTACCTTAAAATGCAACAAGTATTAGAAATTAAAAATTAAAAAAAAAACCGACTTCAAAAACGTGCAGATGCCGTCACCACATCTTAACCAAATTTATGTGGGACCACCCCTGAGGTATCCCCTTGCCAACAAAAAAAGAATCATATAAATCGGACAAGGTGTTAAAGCATTATCGCTAAACATACCTAAAAAATGAAGAGTTTGAGGATTTTCTCATGGACCCAATTATTATATTTTGACCAAATTTATATGGGACCACCCCTGAAGTACCCCCTTTCTAACAAAAAAATAATTATTGAAATCGAACACCGTGTTAAGAATTATCGCTGAACATACATAAAAAAAATATCGCGACGAATTGAGAACCTCCTCCTTTTTTGAAGTCTCTTAAAAATGTTTTTCACTATCAACAAAATACATATTATAGCAAGATGATTTGAATGACAGTTTATAAACTTTCATGACTGATATATAGCACAAAAAAGGAAAAAGTAGTAATTTTGATTTAAATATGAAAGACAGGAATTCGAAGATGGAGGAATTTAATAATGTAAAGACAATACTACCAAAAGGTTAGAATATGGATTTATAGGAAGATAGCAGTTAGATGCGGAGTGGATACGACCAACTTGTTGTTTTCTCTAGTAATCTATCTACTGGTATTATAAAGTAAGGTGGGTTCCAGGTCCAATTTTACCATTAAAACTTGATACTTTGATACAAGATTTGAATCTGTGAACCTCCCCCCCCCCAGATGCGGTACGAAAAAAATTAAATAATCGTTTTTTTTTAAGGATTTTCCTATTTTAAAAATGTTAATGCTAATTACTAATTTAGCAATACAAATCAAATTTTGTAGAAAATACTTGCGAAATAGCAGTGCAACAGAACTACAGATAAAAGCATATATTTTTTTTAAATTATAGAGATTTTTTTCTAGGTCGGTCTTTATTTCTGTTGTTGGTTACACTCATTGGCTCTGGCGTTAAAGTTAGTCGTTTTCTTAAAAATGAAATCCAAAAGTAATTATAAATAAAGAATAGATAGTCTAGATAATTTTTTGTACCTCTGTAACTGCCGTTCCTCTTCTCCAATAAAATTCGGCGTTTCGGGTCTTGAAGGCTTTTGAGCCTTTAAAGCCTCCCATATGTCAACCTATATTAAAATAAACGCAGAGTAAGTAACTCTATAAACTAAACTTTTAAAGATACAATTATCTTTAAAAATATATTTTAAAATCGCTTACTTCTTCTGTTTCTGTTCCTGCATCTATAAGACTTTGCTGAATAGCAAATTGTAACAGATCATCTTCTTCCTCCATACTAAACTGCCGTCGTCCATCGAGACCTTTCAATAAAAATTTAAATAAAAAAACATTTTTGTAAGTGTGGTATTAACGTACCAATCTGTGCATATCCAGAAGGACACTTGAACAAGTTATCGTCTAAAATACAAGTCAGTCGATTCTCTTCCTGCACTCTTGAGACTTGTGGTACCTCTGCATCTGTGGCGAATATATTTCCGAAAGTTATCCTTGCATTCAATATGTGAAATAATGGAATTTCTACGAATAAAAAGTTTGTTGAATCACTCTTTCAATATTCAGTTTTGAGTTAATAAAAACATCAAATTATTTAATGGATATAATAATTAATAATAATAGTAATTTATCAACAACTATTTTACAAAATTTTCTTTTACTTTTGACTCGCTTTGTATAAAAAATCATTTTTAAAATATCTTGCCTTTATATACCTTTTCACAAGTATTATTTATTTACAGTCGGGTTAGAATAAAAGTAATAAGGTTACTCCTAAGGATATAATACAGAGTGTTACTTAATAATAGGCCGTAATTCCTAGGGCGCATTTCTGAACCAAGTTCAAGCAGAGAGGTTCATATAAACATGTGTCCTAAAGGTTTTTTATTAATATCTCAAACATGCTTTTATCGATTTTGTTTCCAGTGTTCTTCATTGTGATAAGACGCTAAGTTAAGAAATAAACTTTATTAAGAGGAGTATTTACTTGGCTTTAGAGCAGAGCATGCGAGAGTTTCGTAGTACCCCACTTTTAAAGTTTATTGTTGTCATATTTTAAAAGAAAAAAAATATGTGCCTATAGGTAAAGGTTAAATCTGTGCTCCTCTGGAAACACTTTTTCAAAATTTCAAATTGTTTTTTCTAAAAAAAAAAAAAAACTCGACTTTTTTGATCCATTTTCTCAATTTTTTTAGAAAAAACTAAATTGAATTTTGAAAAAGTAGTTCCAGAGGAGTATAGATTTAACCTTTATCTACACGTACATATTTTTTTCTCTTAAAAATACTTAAAAATAAATTTTAAAAGTGGGGGTACTACGAAACCCTTACATTGCAAGATTTTTCGTCTGGCAAGTGGCGCCTCTGTTAGATTTTTAAGAAATTAATATTTGTGAATGAAAACAATTTACAAAATATTTTACTGATGTTTTACGAGGGATAATTAAAGTTTACATATTTGTAGGTACACCTTATTGTTTTACGTAAATCATTTCTGTAATACTAATATAGACATATTTATATAATATGCAATGGGTTTCATAGTACACCAATTTTACGGATTATTTTTTATTTTTTGAAAAAATATGTAAGTACAGGTAAAGGAGTTACTTTTTGAACATTTGAATCGGTTTATTTTGAGAAAATGTAAGAAGATATCTTTCTATCGAAAAAAAAAAAAAAAATACAAATAAAAATGCTAGAAGAGAACGTTTTTAATTTTTATGGGAACATTTATTTTTCTCAATAAAAATTAAAAAAATACGTTAAAAGCTTTTTCGTCTAGAGGGCGACACCAACAAAATGTACGAGTATATCCTTTTCTACTGTTTACAAGTGATAAACGTACGCAAGTATTTGAATTTATTTTGTTTTATGTCTGTACACTTTGATATTTTTACATACAGTAATTTCGCTCAATTATTTTAAATTAATTTTATCATTTATTTATTAAAAAAATATATCCGAAATTAAAAGGTATACAATGAGATTTGAATTATAAATTAACTTTTATATTGCACGGGAATTTTTTTTAATGAATACATCTTCGAGTTAAGAAGAATGAATTCCAGCATGTTAACAACTCTTTAAGCTGTTAAAGTAATGTATATCTTTTCGAACTTAGTAAATAATTTTTTTTTGCTTTCTAGCGTGGGCTTTGATCTCTCACACTCTTTGATGCGCGTTGCAAAAGAAGATTTTCTAAAAAGTTTGATAATTGATAATGTCTATAGATGAGAAAAAAATGAATGTGACAAGAGATCAAGCTGATTGTGGATTGTAGCAAAATGTAAGACGAAAACGAGTCACTGTTTCAAAATTTGGAGACATTTGTAAAAAAAGAAAAGACATTTTTTAAACAATCTCATAATCTTTTATTTTTTGCTAAAGCCTTTTAATATGACATGGACAATAAATCCAGAGGAAAATAAGATTTGGAAATTTATTAGCAAGAAAAAGTTTTTATATGTGGACTTTTATTGATTCCGAATTTGATTATGTTCCTGCCAGTCCAGATGGAATTTAAAACAAAAAACTCTATGATAGAGTTAAAATGTCCATATGAAGAAAAAGGAATATGCAGTAGAAAAATAACTTTCTGGGAAAAGAATAATACCATTAAGGGGAACCACAATCGGTACTTTCAAATTCAGGGCTAGCTGCACATTACACAAATGAATTTTTGCATTTTGTGCGTTTGGACTTCTCGAGAAATAAAAGTGGAGGAAATTCCTCATAATGACAGCTTTTGGGAAGAAAAGGTGCAAAATAAAATTCAAAATTATTATATGCAATATGCCTTACCAGAACTAGTTGACAGCAGAGCTAATAGAGACATGGAAGTACGGGACAGAATGCCAATAAATGGTGATTTTAACAGTACGGGTTTTTTATGAATTTGTTCTAGAAGCTGTACCTCATTATAACAGATTATTTAAACAATAAAAATAATTTTTGTTAAAATATAAATAATAATAATATGCTGAAACATTATATCTGATCGCTACATATTATAAAACCAAAGGTACCTTTTCATTTAACTAACTCACACACGGCTACTCCAAGTTTAAATATTATAAATCCGCTTGAATATAAAAAATAACAGGTATAGAAAATATTTTTTAAAAACCTAGTTTATTTAAAAATATAAAATGTCATGAGACCGTTTATTGTTTGTTTATATTGGCCTCCTGTTTTTGTTACTTTGACTTTTTGTATCGAGGACATATTATTATGTGATATAGAAGGGAATGTATTGCTAAACTATGGACGCTTAATCAATTATTATTAGTAGAGTGTATGTATTAAAATATTCGCTCTAGAAAACGTTTTACCCCCCTTTGTCACAAGTTGAATTTTTCAGAGATAAAAGGTCATGATAAGGTAACCCTTATTCCAGAGGTAACACAAAATTAGACTGTGCAGAAGGGCACTATCATCAAAAATTCAGATACTGATACCGCCGAATAAAAAAATATTTATTTTTTGGTCCAATGCACAATAAAATCTTTGTAAGGAGTAATTTTTTATACTTATTTAAAAAAAATTCAGCCCTTCAAAAATTTGTTTAAAAAGTCATTTTTTTAAATATAATTTTATCATTTAACAAAAAGGAAGGCCCTAATGAAAAACGTAGTATAGCTCTGTTTCTCTCTACGTGTCGGCTGATGCATCACATTTGATATGCTCAAATTTTTTTCATTTTTTTATTATAAAAGTTTTCGTTAGGTGCCAATGGACAAAGTGTCTTGTCTGTTTTTACTAAAAAATTAATAAGTGTATTACATATTAAAGTTCCTAATAAATTGGGAAGAAATATAGACTTTTTTAGGTTTTTATTACATCTACATTCATCCTGTTATATCTGATAGCCTGAATATATTTGGGTAAGTTTTCGTTAAACATTTTAATTACGGATTTATTGTTGCAAGAAGCAAAGACACAAATGATATCAAAATATGACTTCTTAATCCTTGCATGGTCAACAGTTTCTTCATAATATTTTATTAGCAAAGGATATGGACAGAAGCATTAGGTAATTATGCCGAAATATTTAAGTTTGATCTGACAGCCTCTCAGATGTCTCTAACAGTAAATGGGTATCTCGGCACCTCTACAAATAAGAGTTTATTGGGAAATATTTTAGAGCAATATGACCCACAAAGACTTACCTGCACCTAGGTGATCTTGCAAAACTTGTCACATTTTTGATGGGATAGCAATAGCTCAAGGTTTGGGAAAGTCCAAAAGTTGCATATCATTTAAAGAATATGCTAATATATTTGTAAAGATTATTTTCAAAAATAAATTTAATGCTCAAAGGATAAATGTGGTATTTAATCATTATAAAGAAAATTCTATCAAAAATACACGTCAAAAGAGATGATCCCAGAAATCAATTGATATAGAAATTGACCGACCCAATATTCCACTTCCAGAATAATGAAACTTGTTCATTCATTCGATATTTAATAAAAGACGTTTAACACATTTTCTGTCGGAGTAACTTCTTGAAAATTTGTATCTAGTGATCCAAAGTATACATTTTCTGGCCTCATTGCAGGGAGCAAAGTCTCCCTGGAGAAAAAGTAAAAGTGACGTCATGGTATGTCATAAATGAAATAGCTTATACGGCATTGACGACCTAAACTATATTCTATTATATAAGTATAAATTTTACCGTTTATTTATAGAACATCCTGTATTTTGCAAAATAGTAAAAACCAGTAAATTGTTATTTTAATTTAACGATTTTTACATTAATAATTTGACTTCAATTCATAGATTCATCCGATTTTCGAATTTAGGACAGAAATATTATAGCATGCTATGGTCGATTGACAGATCAGTTTCAAATGTGATTTAAGCGAATTTGAAGATATAATTAATACACCACCGGATATTTTGGAACAGGTTAATGCAACAGTACAATCTCTATTGCCCCAAAAATCTAAAGAAAAATACGAAAAACAATATTTACATTTCAAGCAATGCGCCGAAGAAAATTATTTAAAAATGACTTGTTATTTGAGGGAGGCGGAAAAATCATATGTATTACTTGGGAGTAAAGTGCCTTTTCCTCCCTTGGATGTTTACTGCTCTCCGCTTCGCGTCGGGCAGTAAACTTCATCCTGCGGGAGGAAAAGTGGCACTTTCCTCCCTAGTAATACAAATAGCTATTAAGTAGTTTTGAACTAAAAAGATATGGTTCATAATAGGGCGAGGAGGATAAAAAAACTTCTAAAAAATTTGCCTTTTTTTCATTCTGTGACAGGTCTTAATAAATCCAACCAATTGTCTGGCATTGGAAAAAGAACCTGTTGGAAAACCTACCTTGAACACCATCACCTATTGGATGGATTTGGCACTGATTCGTAGGTACTCTGAAAACACATTCTCTAATCTTGAAAAATGTTTCATAAAACTATTCAAAAACTGCCAATGTTACTTCCATTAACATTTTGAGGAGATTAATGGCCCCTTTAAAATAATTGCTAAATTGCCATTGACTGAAGACGCCCTAAG